CAGCTCTTGATTTCAGTGATGTTTTGTTTTGTTTTTTTCTTTTAGACTATTTTGTTTATTTCTGCTCTGATCTTAAGGAACTTTTTATTAGACAGTTCTGTGTGTGCACTACTGTAATTGTAATTCACTTTTGGAAGCTAGTTGTTAAAGTACATTTTGTAAACAAGTATTTTCTTGAATTCTTTGGTACACCAGTCTCTGCCTATAATGTATATATATAATTTATAGACTGGTATATTTCATAGAAATTTGGAAATGATTTAATCTGTCACTAGATTTTAACTGGATTTTTCCCTTTTGATTTCCATATATATATATTATTTTGTTATTACTGAAAATAATAGTGAGAAAAAAATGGTGTAACCTTCCAGCCTTTCCAGAGCAAAGCAACTGGAGTCCTGGGAAGTCACACTCTTTTTGGATTTAACTATGATCTCAGAATGTGGCTAGTGCTGTAAAAGCAAGTTTTGTTTTGTTCAAATTTGTTTTCATGATGTGTTAGGATCTGCCTAGCATCTATCTGGTAGGTTGTATAACTTGAGATCTAGTTATTCTGGTTTTTGTGTTCCCAGGAAATGGGGGCACTGCAGAAGTATTTCAAAGCTAGCCTTTCATTTTCTTTCCCCTTATTCACATCTTTCTGATCACTTAAATGAGTTTCTGCTTAATTCACTAACCTCTTTGGAGTTGAAAGTATAAATTACAGACAGGAATGCTACCCAGAGCCATATTTGCTCCCTTTTTTTTTTTTTATCCTCACCTGAGGACTTTTTTTTTTTTTGCATTTATCTTCAGATACAGCGTGAGGGAGAGAGGGGGGAAGAGAGAGAGAAACATCGATGTGAGAGAGACACATCAAGTGGTCACCACCCACACGACCCCAACCTGGGCCGGGAACAACCTGCAACCAGGGTACATGCTCTTAGCGGGAACCGAACCCAGGACTCTCCGGTCCGCAGGCCGATGCTCTAACTGCTGAACCAAACTGGCCAGGGCTCTCTCTTTTCTTTAAGTAGGTGACTTGAACTCTGGGTGCACATGAGGTATCTGGGGAACATCTTCATAAAATATTGGAATATTTCATATGTACACAAGTTAGTTCTTTGTGCTCCAGAGACACGTAATGCAATGATTTGGTATCTGCCCTTGACAATTTTATAATTTAAAGGAAGGAGCTATAAAGATTGGCCAGCTCTGTGTCTTTTCCTGTGCCTACAGGCCTATACAAGTATACTTGAATACATCTGGTAGTAATGTAGGGAGTCTTGCAGGCTGTGTGGGGGTGAGTGATACATCTAGATCAGGCTCTGCTTAATTAGAGGACTTAGAGGAGCAGGTGAAGTTTAAAGAGTGATTAAAAACTGGGAAACAAAAGTCTGGATGTGGGAGATAAAAAAGTATAGACTTGTGTGGGCACAAAGAGAGGCAAGGCAAGAAGATTATACCATGAAAAGTGTCAGGGACCATGAGTTCAGCTCCTGAATAGCTTTGAGTGGTTGTCATCTACTATGAGAACTTTTGATGTCTTTGGAAATTGGGAGTTACCATTAGGAAAGATTTAAGTGTTTCTCTAGGAAAATGGTTTTGATGCTCATGTGATTATATCCCCTCTTCCTTATAAATATTCCCATAAAGAATAAGATTTCTGAGTCTAGGAGAGCTTATGGGTAAACTTACTCTTGGTTTCTTTATCTTCTTTGCCTGCAGCAAGGTTGTGGCTTACATGTTTTGTCATCATTGTAGACCTGGGTCTAGGATTGGTTTGAAGGCGGGTTGGGGAGGGGTGTTTTCTCTTGCAAATACTTGGTGACTACTGTTGGTATTAGAACTACAAGGGTAAGATATTTTTAAAGTTTTACCCCCATTAACCACAGGATTTAGTATATAGGCAAGTGACTATTTTCTGTTGTAGGTGATTCTAAGGTACTTGGTTCTCAAACCTACTGCATAACCTGGGACTCATGTTAAAATGTGGGAGATAGGACCCTACTTTCAAACCTAAGGAATCTGAATTTTGTGGTAATGAGAAATTTGTTTTTTTGAAACCCCAGTCTGTAATTTTTCTGTACAGGATTGTTTGAGATGATGGCAGGTTGTGACCCATATAGGCATTTATTTTATGGGTTGATATACACAGGAGATTTCATTTTGGCTAACAGTGTTGGGTGAGATTTTTGGATTGGTTTGTTTGCCTTTTATTTTGGATTGAAACAATTAGAGAGATGTTGGAGCAGAAAATGAAGTAGCATGAACATAACAGTCTGAGGAATAGGGTAGGCCCAGAGACATGGAAGTGGGGTACAGACTGACAACCCTCAGAAGAGGGGGTGATGGGGGAGGGGAAGAAATAAACCACAGAACTTATATGTTTGTACGCATAACCAATGGACATGGACAACAAAGCCGGGGACTGGGTGGGGGGAAAGGGGAGAAGGGTGTCAATGGGCTAAAAAGGAGAAACATCTGTAACAAAAATAAAATTAAAAAAAAAAAAAGAAAATGAAGTAGCTGTTGCTGTGAATTTACCTCTGAAGTTTGGGCATGAGCAATATGTGTCTCTGTCAGCCTGTGTGGGAGTGTTGAGGGTAATTTGTGTGTGTTTATGGGAGTTGGTCAGGAGGTCCTACTCGAGAACCCCAAGGTAAGAACAGGACTTTTGGGATCTTGATTATTAATATGACTTCATTTGAATTAGAAGCCTGGTAGAAGGTTAACATTTTATTCATACATTTAATGTAAGTAAAATATAACTCCTGATCTTCCTTCAGCTTCGCTGTTAGGCTTCCCCAAATTGGTTGATAACAAATCCCATGCTTTCGGCAGCCTAGGCCCACACCTTAGAATCATTGTTAACTCCTCTGTTTTTACATTCCTCATCTATTCTATCAGGAAACCTATTATCTCCCAAAATATATGTGAAATTGCCTATTTTTCACCACCCCACTGCTATTACCCTGATCTAAGCCATCATCATCTCACCTAAATTACCGCAACTCTGAACGACCTCCCTGCTTTTACCCTTGCTGGGTACCCCCCTCTCCCAGTTTATTCTCAACATATCAGCCAGAGTAGTTGTCTCATATATAAGTCAGAAAATGTTATGTTTCCATTCAGAGCTCTTAAATGGCGTCTGAATTTCCCTTATAGTGAAGACCAAAGCCCTTATCATATTCAACATGACCAGTTTGTGTCTTTTACCTTTTTGATCCCATTCCTTGTTTTCTCCTCTTTGTTCACTTTGTTCCCAGGCTACACCAGTCTTGTAGTAACTTGAGTGTACCAGGCAAGCTCCCACCTTGGGATCTTTGTGTTGCCTATTGCCTTTGCCTATATGGTTCCCCCTCCAGGTAACTGCTTGTCTCACTTTTATTTCCTTAAAGATTTTACTCAGTTGACACATTCTCAGTGAGGCCCAGTCCAACCACCCTATTGAAAATTGTATCTGTTCCATAGCACTCCTCATCTGCTGTCCTCTGCTTTATTTTTCTCCATCACACTTTTTATCTATCAAACTCTATTATGTTACTTATTTATTGTATTTTGTCTGTCTCCATCCAATGGAAAGTGAGTTACACAAAGACAAGGGTTTGTCTCTTTTATTCACTTACATATTCCCAGTTCCTAGAATGCTACCTCAATAAGTATACTTTTGAATGAATAACAAGTTCTCTGAATATGCTTAATACTGCTTCTTAAGGATTACATTCTAGTAGGAGATATAAAAATCAAGTAAATCAAGAGATAATCACAAATTGATTAATGCAGTGAAGGAGATGAATATAGTATTTATGTAGGGTTATGGAGTGGTCAGGGAAGGTCTCTGGGAAGATAGCTAAAGTTGAAGCCTGAATGATGAGAGAGCTAGAAATTGGTGGTTGGAGCCTGAGGAGAGTGGTCCAGGCAGAGAAAAGCATTTATAACATCTCTGAGGTACAAAAAACATTTCAAGGCAGGAAGAGAAATGCTTTGGGGAAAATGAATTCTTACTAATATTTATTCAGAGCAGAAAGTCTTTGCTCCTAGTTTCTAATAGATTTTTCTTAAATTTCAAGTTCTAAACTTGTATAACCTTAAATATAATGAAGATAATTCTTTTGAAATATGAATGACATTTGTAAATCCTCTTTAGTAAGTGTTCTAATATGGCTGAGGTACAGTTACACTGGTTTTAAAATTGTTTTTTCTCTGACTATGCAAAAAAATACGTTTGTTTGTTTATTTATTTTTATTACCCCTTCCCCCAACAGCAGAGCGCTGGGGCGCGCGCACACACACACACACCCCTGCACACAGCCACGCCCTCGTGCAGGCGTATGTACGTGGGTACATACACACTCATATACACATGCGCCCCCGCGTTCTCTCCTACCTCCGTCCCCAGCCTGCTCCCGCTCCCACCACGCTCTAATACATGTTTACTTTAAGAGGTACAGAATTGTATGAAGCAGAAAGAGAATGGTGCCCCTTACCCTGCCCCAACCCCACCACTAATGTCCTTTCAAAAGCTCTTCATGCAGAATCTCTTTCATTTATTAAACAAATAATTACTGAGCATATCACTAGGTTTATAATGACCAGTGAAAACAGATATGACTCCCCTCATTTACATTCTTGAAGAGCTGGACAGATAAATGTAAAAATATAGGTATGTTAAGTGCTACAAATACAGGTATGCGATGTAGTAAGAGTGTATTATAGAGGAATTTCACCTAGGCAGGATGCTCTGGAAAGGCTTCCCTGAAGAAGGAATGCTTGAGCTGAAATAGGAGACTTTTTGTGTGAGTGTGTATGTTTTATAATGTCATATATTCTTTTGCAATGCATGTTATCTCTTAATTTTATAAGGTTTTCATTTATAGCAGAGGTATCACTGCATTTCTTTGGATTTTCAAGGTACTGTTCTGTTTTTGTTCAATTGATAGTTACAGTTTTTCAGAAAAATTCAGGGAACCTAACACATATAGCAATTTCTAAATCTTACAATTATCTCAGTTTTCTTTCTAGCTGAGGTCATTTCTCTACAAAATGACAAAACATATCAATGAGAGGGTCATCCCATCAGGTCTTCATAAACCAGAGGTAAACTATACAAGGCCAAGGAAGGTAAGAGCAGATAATGGGTTCATAGTTATTTTCTTAAGTCCCTCTGGGTTCTGATGTAAGAAGTAGCACATATACCTATGTTTTCAATTACTGGTCTTCTGGGCTTGCTGCACATATTTTTTGTACTGTATTTTTAATGCCCTGTTTCAATTGGCTTCTTATGGAAGTAAATCTAGAGTGAAACTAAACGATGTGCTAAACAGTATATGAAGCTCTTCATCACACCTTCTCTTTTTCCCCATTGCTCTTTAAGATCTTTGAGATTGTAGATAGTGTTCTTTAAACCTGAGTTCCTAGCATAGAGTATTCCTGGCTTATTAGGTACCCAATAAATTTTGAATAAATCAAATATCTACTCTCAGAGATTTAACTCTCACTTCTGTTGATATGACCCCCCAAAATCTATGTATTTATTCCTTTTCTCTTGAGCTTTAATTTCACATCTCTTTGGGGCTGCATCAGTGCTTGCTTCCTTGTATCCCATCCACCATCACCTTCTTGCCTCATCTTGACTTTAACTATAATTCCTCTTTTTAAGTAAGTGGTATCTTTATCCTTTCAGCTTTTATACCTTTACCATTTTTGCTTGCCCCTGTTTCTATTCTAGGTGGTCACCAAGCCCTATTGATTGTTTATTTGTAATGTCCCTCTTATCCCTTCCTTATCTGTATCTCTACTATCACCACTACCTTGCTCTGTGTACCACCACCCTTGTGTGTCTTCCGGTCACAGTTGGGATTACTGCCATGTTTTCCATCTTCCCTCTCTGCACCACCCCCCCCCCCCCCACCTCCTCCTCAAGTCTCTTACTTGATCATGTGCTGTTACCATTTTTGTCTCCTTTAAATGTCTCTCTGAACATATCTTTCTGCTTGGATAGAACTATGCATTGCATATAGGATTACTTCCAAGAGCCTCACTCCTTAGCATTGAATTCAGTGTTTCCTTATTTGGCATTCATTCTGTGGTGGTGCCTTAACCTTTTGCTTCACAAACTGGCTAATTGTTTCCTTAACTCAGTCTGTCTTGCCTCATTTGGCTTAAATGATACTTGGTTTTCCTTGTTCCTGCTCTTTATTACCAACTGGACTGAATTGTAGATTGTCATATTCCTATTTGAGTCTTGTGATTGTTGTTCCACAAATCTATGCTAATATGATGAGCTGATATTCATGCCTCATTCTTGCCTTTTATTCACCTCAGTGTAGTGTGTGTGTTTGGGGGAGATGGGACTTTTCACAGCTTGTTTTTTTTTTCCTTTCCTCTAAACGAGTTGGTTTAATTCCAGGTGGTACAGAATATTGGATAGAACAAAGACTTAAAAACACACTTTGACAGGATTCTGGGCTGGATTTACTCTGACCTCATAGCTAAGGTTGAAATGGCAGAGTGAGAAGAACTGAATAGATGAGCCACTGCATGAGGATGATCATGATGATGATGATTTTTACAAAAGTTTGTTCTTAAATGTACAACAGGCTCCAAGACAACATTTCATTCTAGCTATAGGTGGCAAGAAAAGTTATGACAGGGAACCCAGAACTTAAAACAGGAATGGAATTAAAGATCACCATTGCCCCAGGCACAAAAAAACAGCTCACTTTTTGCCAGATTTCTTAATTCCACCTGTGGCCAAGGGGCCCTTCCCTGAGGCCTTTGGGCCTCCTCTTTTAGCTCCTCATATTTCTTCTGCTCCTCTTTTTGCTTCTGCTTGAATGCCTTATTGTCCTCATCCATCTCCTTGGCCTGCTTCTTGGACTGCTTCAGGGGCTGCTTCTTACTACCTTCACAGCTGGACATGGTGCTTGCCGCCCCTTCCCACACCCTCCAGAGCTTGGTTTTTTGTATACTTGCTAAGCCCTCCATTTTTTTTCTGTCACTAGTCATTTTGCACTACAGTTAATTTTTCTTAAGCAATCTTATTCACAAGTATATAATCTTTTACCTTTTCTTCCTCCATTTTAGTTATATTGGGATAATTCCTCTTCCATATTTTCTATTTATAGTCTCCCTAAATAGATCTAAGTGTGATATGATAATGTTTGATCACTAGATTGAATTATATTCACTCAAACTGCAATATTGATAATTGACTGACTCACCTTACACAGATTGTCCTGTGTATTTATTTCTCAGTGGGATTTTAGATTTTTGGGGAGCTTCTCTGGTTTTCATGGTAGAAATAGAAATACCATGAAATATATTTTGGGCACAGTTCAGTTTTGTTTGTGTTTTTAATGGCTTGGTTAGCCACTATACATTGTTACAACAAGACAAATAATAACACACATATGTTATTCCCAATGGTGTACTTTAGGATAATTTTATTTATTTTTTTTATCCTCACCCGAGGATACTTTTTCATTTTTTGTTCAGATAGAGCAGGAGGGAGAGAGAGGAAGAGAGAGAGAGAGAGAGAGAGAAACATCGACATGAAGGGACACATTGAGTGGCTGCCACCCGCACGACCAACCAGGGCCGGGAACAAACTGCAATCGAGGTACATGCCCTTAGCGGGAACCGAACCCGGGTCTCTGTACCGCAGGCCGACGCTCCAACCGCTGAGCCAAACCGGCCAGGGCTAGGATAATTTTAATATGTTAGTAACCCAGGATGAGGATGGCAGAGGCACAAGTAGGAATTTGCTCAGAAGTCAGGTTTTCCTGTCTCAAATATCTGGACTGCCAAATATATCTTCTCTTCTACGAAGAGAACTTGGAGGTAAGAAAGCCCTGGAGCACATGAAAGTACCAAAGATACAGATTGTGCACTGTGTGCCAATTGGGTCCTTTTGGAGATAGAAGAAAAGTGCATTTTCATTAGTTAGTTTATACATCATTAGGTAGTAGCCAAGTTTCTCCAAAACAGACACTGATGAATGTGGAGGAAGCTATGAGGAATGGACAAAGAGGAGGCAAGAAGTGAGGAGAACAAAGGAACAAGAACAAAAGAAGAGGAGAGCAATAGATACTGGTGGGAGGTGATGGGGATCATCAGACAGGACTTTGGGAAAGGAGAAAAGAAAAGCTGCAATTTTTTCACCTCATATCTCTGAGTTAAGTGTTTACCTCATTTAATTCTCAGAACTGATATTCACTATGTCATATTAGGAAAAAATGGAGATTTAGGTATGTTAGATCCAGAATTTGAACCCAAATTCATTAGAATGCAAATCTGGTATTTATGTGTTATAGTACATATATTAATATCCCTGTGATAGATTAGCCTTATATATTTTAGCCAATTCTCTTGTTCTACCACCTGTGCTCCAGCAAATTAAACTGTAGTTTTCCCACTATCTAGTAGATAAAAACTCTCTGGTTTTCTGTTTACTCACAATAGCTTTTTAAAAAAATCCTCATCCGAGAATATTTTTCCATTTATCTTCAGATAGAGGGGGATGGAGGGAGACAGAGAGAGAGAGAGAGAGAAAGAAAAACAGAAACATCGATGTGAGAGAGACACATCGACTGGCTGCCTCCCGCACGACCCCAACCAGGGCTGGGGATGAACCGCAGCCAAGGTACCTGTCCTTGCCTGGAGTAGAACCCGAGATTCATTGGTCTGTGGGCCGATGTTCCAGCCGCTGAGACAAACCAGCTAGGGCTCGCAATAGCTTTTATGCCTAAGATATAGCTACCTCGTGCTGCTTATCTTCCTCTATTCTCTTCCTCAAAAGGCCATCCCCTGAATTTCTTTTGGCACCCTGTATTGTAGATAGGTATGGGCACATCTTAGTTGTTTATTAACTTGTAATTCTTTAAAGTTAAGATCTGGACCTGAATTATCTTTTAAACCATATAGCATCTAGCTTAGTGGTTTGCCATTTTTAAGAAGATTTTTTTTATTAATTTTTTTTTTTTTAGAGAGATGAAGGGAGAGGGAGAGAGAGAAAAATATCAATGTGAGTGAAACACCAATCAGCTGCTTCTTGTACACCCCCAACTGGAGATCAAACCTGAAACCCATATATGTATCCTGACCAGGAATCAACTGGCAACCTTTTGATGCACGGATGACAACCAATCAACTGAACCACAACAGCTAGTGCGTGCTTTGCCAGTTTTAGGTACACTAAGTAAATATGTTTTGTATAAATAATATTATAAGTCTGAGATTAAGTTTAGTACTATATATTTGTTAATAAAAATGCCTCAGTAAACCCTGAAAGCGTTTATAGAAAGGGAATAATAAGAGATTCAAAATTAAGTCCTTCGGTTACTAGAAAACCTAATAATACTATTATTTTCAAAGGTATTGCAAATTCACTTGGGGCTCATATTGCATATGCTAATATATGCAAATAAAAGTGTAGTACCTTACTCTATTTTTGTATACAGAATGAGAAATTCTTTCATAACCAAGGACTTTTGTGAGGATAGTGAAATAAATTTATTGCTGTATCCCACGTACTTTTATTTCAACTTGTGTACCAAGGTGTATTTTGAATATTATATATTCTACATAAAAGATTACAGGAGAAAATTGCTTTATCACATGGATACTATAAAATGGTTTTAATCCCAGTATAACAATTGCATTTTGAAACCTAAATGTTAAATATTAAGAAAGTGGATGAGTGAAATATGGTTGGGCCATTAAAAGCATATATATGGCAATTTATTGTTGTATTAAATGAAAAATGCAGAATACCAAGTAGTATCATGGCATACCCTCAGTCATGGCCAGAGGTGGGGGAGACTATAATATATAGATAGATATGTATGCAGAGAAAAAATATATAAGTAAGTAAATATACCAAATGTTAATGAAGTGATTGTGGTTAAGCATATTTTATAATTGGAAATTTTATATTTAGAAAAAACATTTAAAATACAGTAGTGCATTGTCTTATCATTTCTGAGATAATTATGTTCTAGTGATGTGTGACAAAAATGTCCTAATGATAATTGGAGCTTTGTAACTCCAAAAGAAAAAGCTGTCATACTAAATGTAAATTTTTATACAATAATAGTTAAACATTAGATGGTCTTTTCATACCTACTGACAGACTTAGCTAAACTGAGAGAAAAATGGACTAAAGTAGATAAAGACGATGAGAATATGTTAAATGGTATTAAAAAATCAACTTTTAAATGAGCACATTGAACTGGATTATTCTTGGTCTCTGAAACCATATAATCTTATTTTATAATATATAATGATTTGAATGTTTTGGAGAAGTCAAAGAGATATGAAGAACAATAGAGAAGGTCTTTAAGGGAAGAAAGTTGCTTGGCAGGAGGTTTTCTTTTTAGGTGGCAGTGTGTATAGTGGTTAGGAGTATAGGTTCTGAAACTGTGCTGCCAGGGGTTCATTCCTGACTTTATTTCTTCTATGTTAGTAAGCAAATTACATTTAGTTTCCTGTTGCCTGTTTTCTCATCTGTAAAATGAGAATAATGGAATTTACTTCATATGGCTGTTTTGAGATTTTAATGATTTTTGGACTATAAAAATAAGGTCCTTAACAGTACTTGGTCTAGTGAGTGCGTATTCAATAAATGTTAATGCTATCATCCTTCTCTTCCTTTTCCACCTATTCCTCCTCTTCATCAAAGGAATATTATTATCTTTGATTTAGCAAGTTATTTTGTAGAAAGGAAGTTGTTAAGATCCCTGAATTAGCTATATTCTTTTGAGAAAGTCATGTCTGAAAGTCTAGCTATATAAGTAACTTTTCAAAGTCATTTATGCACTTGCGTCTATTCAGTCAGTAACAATGCATCTTATTCTCCATGCTTTCTATAGAAGATTTACAGCACAGCACAGGAATAGAGGTTCATAATGATAACTAAGTCATCAAGAAAAGCTCAGGTTACATTTAGGTCTTTGTGAGCTAATGATAATTGGTTTAGAAAAAAGCCCATTTAAAATGAAACCACTTAAAATGCAGATCAGTATTTCATACTCAATTGTGACTTTATCTTGAAAAATTAAAATTTTGGAAAAATATTAGATTATAATTTTAAACATGCATAAATTGTTATAATGAACAAAGGATGAATCAAATGTGAATGGATAGGCTTACAAAATATTTTAGTAAGTAGCGTGATGTAACATCCTTCATGCTTGGCATTTGTGGCGCTAACATTAAGAGGATTTTTATTTTTATTTTTGTAAAAATATATATTGCTTTTCCCAGGGACCTTTGTTAGTCCTTTGATAATCAAGTTATTCTTTCTCTACAAACAACAAGTTTGCTTACCTATTAGTACAAAAGTGATGAATTCCTGAAGCTCATTGTTCCTCACTATATGCAAACCCACTATATGAGTACTATCCCTTTGGGCCATAGTGCATCACTCCCATAGGTTTTGGAAGCAAAGGGAACCTCAAATCTGATGCTGATGCTGTTTGCTATGCCATGAGTAATAAAGTCCTTTGTCTCTGACCCAGGAGTCTCGTGTCCTTTGTCAGTATCTGTAAAACAGTTGCTAACTTATATGCTTGTAGTGTAGTAGGGAAGAATTAAATTCAAGACCCTACATTGTTTGCCATAATTTTAATAATCTTTGTGAAATCTTACAGTTATTGCACATTTGCGATTTCACTCATGGCTTATGATGAGGGAGATGCTAGTGAATGTTAACTAATTTTATAGGTGATCAATTCACTAGTACATTTTTTGAAGTTCTTTTTTTATATTGAAGTATATCTTATAATAAAGTATATAAATATTATATGTATAATTCAAAGAACTTTTACATATGCATACATTTATGTTGTCACTCAAATCAAGATATAGAAAATTTCTAGCTCCCCAGAAAAGTCTCTCTTGTCTCATCTTAATAACATTATTGCCTCTAATAGGTTAGTTTTTCTTCTTTTTTGAGTGTCATATAGATGGAATGATATAATTCCATCTGTATCTGATTTCTTCAGTATTGTATCTATGAGATTCATCATGTTTTTTAGGAATGGAATTGCTTGGTCATAGGAATCTGTGTTTAGTATTAGCAGATATTGTAAAAATATTTTCCAAAGTAGTTGGGCTAATTTATATTCTTCCTAAATATATTAAGAGTTCCAGTTGTTCTGTGTCGTCTTTAATGCTTACTCTTTTTATTTTTTTTAAGTCTAGCTATTCTGGTAGACATGGAGTGATATTTTACTGTTTTCTTTTTGAAAATTTCTCATAACTGTCCTGGCCGGTTTGGCTCAGCGATCAGAAAGAGACCTGAGTTCGGTTCCCGCTAAGGGTGTGTACCTCAGTTGCAGTTTGTCCCTGGCCCTGGTTGGGTCATGTGGGAGGCAGCCACCCGATGTGTCCCTTTCACGTTGATGTTTCTCTTCCTCTCTCTCTCTCACTCTATCTGAACAAAAGATGAAAAAACGTTCTTGGGTGAGGATAAACAAATAAATAAATAAAAATTTCTCATGACTAATAATGTTGAGCCCATTTCACCATCTGCTGTACCTGATCAGGTCTTTTGCTTATTCACTAGTGGACTTTTGTGATGAATTTGGTTTTTAACTTAGTAAGTTGAGACTTATTTAATGAGTATTTGGATTACTTTGCACATACCACTTATGTAATTTGGAAATTTATATTTTTAGAAAGAATTTCTTTAAACATGTTTAAAAATGTTAATCATTCTATATGTAAAGAGTTGAATGTAAAATTTGTCTCTACCTCTTTCCTATAGCTAGTTTTTTTAATTCATCTTTATTGTTGAATGTATTATAGATGTTCCCTCCTTTTTTCACCATTGACCCCCTCCTCCCCAATCCTGCCCCCCTCCTGCCTTCCCCACACTATTGTCTGTGTCCATTGGTTATGCATATATGCATAGAAGTTCTTTGGTTTATCTCATCCCCCTTTCCCTTTGAGGTTCATCAGTATAACAACCAATTTGTACTTCTTTTTTTTTTTTTTTTTTTTTATCCTCACCCGAGGACATTTTTCCATTTTTTGTACAGACAGAGTGGGAGGGAGAGAGAGGAAGAGAGAGAGAGAGAGAGAAACATCGACGTGAAAGGGACACATCGAGTGGCTGCCACCCGCACAACCCAACCAGGGCCGGGGACAAACTGCAACCAAGGTACATGCCCTTAGCGGGAACCGAACCCGGGTCTCTCCGGACCGCAGGCGGGCGCTCTAACCACTGAGCAAAACCGGCTAGGGCCCAATTTGTACTTCTTAATTCCTTTGTCTTTTTCACCCATTACCCCAACCCCCACCCATCTGGCAAGCAACAAAATTTCTAAGTATATATGAGTCTATTTCTGTTCTGCTTGCTCATTTTGTTTGTAGATTCAGTTGTTGATAGATATGTATTAATTGCCATTTTATTGTTCATATTTTTGTTCTTCTCCTTCAAGACCCTCCAACATTTCATATAATACTGGTTAGGTGGTGATGAATTCCTTTAGCTTTTTCTTGTCTGGGAAACTCTTGATATGTCTATTGATTCTAAATGATAGCTTTGCAGGATAGAGTAATCTTGGTTGTAGGGCATTGCTTTTCATCACCTTGAATATCTCTTGCCACTTCTTTCTGGCCTGCAAAGTTTCTTTTGAGAAATCAGCTGACAGTCTTATGGGAGCTTCTTTGTAGGTAAGGGACTGCTGCCAAAGGTTAAACACAAAGAGAGAATCCTAAGGCTAGTTTTAAGGAAACACTAATACTCAGTCTTGGGTTTTAAAATCTGACACTCATTCTTTCTGAAGCCAATCTCTTGAAGTCTAATGACATCGCCATTCACCATTCAAGAAGTCATTAGCCTTTTCTTTGTTCACATTCTTTTTAAACTCTCCCTGTGTTTAATCTTCTACAATGCCATTGTATCTAGTTCTAAGATCTTCCTTTTAGTGATACTTGATCAGTAACTCTCCTTTTTCCTACCAGTGAATGTTCCCTAATATTCAGGTATTTACTTGCTGCTCTTTTCATTCTGTTGAAAACCTGCATTTTCTTAATATTTCAGTTTTTTGTGAAAAATCTTAAAATCCTGTTTCTCATCTTTTCTTTGCTAAACCTATATCTTCAGTCATGCCCCTTTTCCAATAGAGTTAACTGTCTTCTCTGCTGACTGGCTAAGCCACTTTCTTAGTATCCTTAATTCTATTAATGGAATTGTCATTAGTCACCTGGGTTTAAAATTTGGAGTTATCTTTAATTGCAAGGTACAGTTGATAGAAAAATCAATAATCATTCATTATATACTCCCTTAGTATGTGGTATGGAACATGGCATAGTGCCAGGTGCTGAAAACTTCTTCCTGGGAGGATTTTGTACTCCAGCTGGGAAGTTAAGATATGTTTTTATCATTTAAGAGAACTTATATGTATATATGCATAACCGTGGACACAGACAATAGTGTGGTGAAGGTGGCAGGGAGCAGGAGCAGGAAGGAGGGGATCATTGCGGGGGGAAGAGGGACATCTGTAATACTGTCAATGATAAAGATACATTGAAAAAAAAGATAGTATTTAATTATAATAAATGGCCATAACCTCTTTAGAGTGGGGTAGTAAAGGACTTCTTCACAAAAGGGGATGGATTTGAGCTTATCATTAAGGGTGACTCAGATTTCTCTTGGAAGACACAGATGGGCAGAGATGCAGGGATTTGGGTTGGATCAGAAAGTGTGTATAGTAGTATTGTGGTAGGTTGAGAATAGACCCAACCAGCCTTTGAAGTTTTGAAATAGCACTTTTCAGTTTGTAAAGCATCTATTATATGTGTGTGTGTTCCTTCTCATTTATATACATACACACACTATTTTATTACTTCTTCAGTTCAATGACTTAGGAACCATTATACCTACAGTGCAGAAAAGTTAATAGGCTTCGAAAGAGTGATACCAGTCATGGTCATATACCTAGTAAAGGACAGAATCTGACCTTCTGGTTTCATTATACTACTTTTAAAAAATAAAAATAGTGAATTTTTTTGTTATGAAATACATAAACACAAAAAAAGTAGAGAAAATAGCATCATATGATTTGCCAAATTTTCTTCAAATCTAGTTTTAAAAGGAACACAGCTGGATTTTTTTCATTCTTGCTTTATCCTTCTTTCCTTCTTTCATCAGAGGCAACCCAGTCAGTTTCAGTATCTTGAGGTTGGTATGAATCATTTGCATGCATACTTTTCTTTTGTCTGTACCCGAGGACATTTTTTTTGCATTTTCTTCACTTAGAGCAGGAGGGAGGGAGAGAGAGAGAAACTGACATGAGAGAGACACATCGACTTGTTGCCACCCACACGACCCCAGCGGGGGCCAGGGACTAACTGCAACCGAGGTATGTGCCCTTAGCGGGAACTGAATCCAGGACTCTGGTCTGCCGGCCACCGCTCTAACACTGGGCCAAACCGGCCAGGGCTGCATACATACTTTTATTCTGTTACTATATCTGTGTTTATCCATATATAACATTTTTTTGTTTTAGTTTAAATTTAGTTTACAGTTACTTGCAAATTTGTTTTTTTGTTTTTACTCATTAATAAATAGGCACTGTTCTAGGTCTAGGGAATATGATGGTAGATAAGGAACATAAGGCTACCTGACTACTAACATATCAGGGGCGAAGACATATTATAAATAGATAAAATTGATAATGTAATAACAGGTTAGAATAAGTTCCATGAAAGAAAATTGAGGAGCATCAAAGGATAGAGAATGATGTGGGAGTGGGATGTATGCTATTTTAAATAAAACATTCAGGGAAGTCATTTTTAAGGAAGTGATATTTGAGCAGTTAAATTAATTGAGAGAATAGGCCATGTTAATCTGGGAAAAGAAAATTCCAGGGGAGGAACATCAAGTGCAAAGGCCTTCAGATTGAAATGACCTTGGAACTGGAAATGGAAAGAAGTCAAGCATGGTTAAGTGCAAAGTTAGGAGAATGGTAAGAAATGAGTTTGGAGGAGAAGCCAAAGGATCATGTAGATCCTATAAAGTGTTATTAAGGAATTTGAATATTGAGTATAATGGGAAGCCACTGGATGATTTTTGAGCAGAGGAATGACATGATGGTTCGATGTACTTTCAAGATTACTTTTACACTGGGATTCTGTGAATAATGTGGAAGCTCTTTCTGTATTGATAGGGGAAGCTCTTGAAGATACATTGTTGATAAGTTTTCTGAACTGGCTTTCTTTTTAGTATACCACTACTTATGATACACACACACACACACACACATACACATTATATATATACACACATACATACACATATATATATTATATACATATATACATGTATATATATATATTACTTGTGAGAAATCGTAGTTTTAAATCGTACAAAAAAGTGTACACATCTTAGCTATCCAGTGAGCTGAATTTTCACGAACCGAACTCTCCCATTTAATGACCCAGAGCAAGAAGCAGAACTTTACCAGGATGGCAGAAAACCTCAGGTTTCCTTCTAGTTAGTACCCCGACCCTTCCCTTCAAAGGGTAATCACCATACTGACTTGTAATAGCACACATTAGTTTCTCCTGCTTTTTGTACCAGCACTCTTAACCCCATTCTATTCATCATAATTTTTTTAGATTACCTACTGTTTTTATTTTAGTATTATGCAAGTAATACATTAATAGATTCCCTTTGTTAAAAGGTTAAAACAATAGAGACGTATATAGAACAAATCACACAGGACTCCTCTCTGTTGCCTCTCCCCCATTCCATGCCTCTCCCCAGAGGTAATGTAACTTCCTTTTTTTCTCTTTAGTACATAATATAGTTAGTATTTAATAATAATGATGATGATGATATGATGATACTAGATTGGTAGTTAACATTTATTAAGCACTTTGTAGTGGTTCACTACTATTCTAGTATCTGGTCTTTAAGCTCCACTCCTTTTGCCTCCCCCTTCCTTAACATGTCTCTCCATTGCACATATATACTCTCTCTCATACACATGCACTACCCTGTGTGGCCTCCATTATATTCCAGTATTGCTGAATAAGATCTCACTCAGCCAGTCCTATCTCCTCTCTGAATGCTCTATTCATGTCTTCCTATATATTTTTTTGCTTATATCCTTTTGTCTTTGAAATTTCCCTGCTCATCTCATACAACCAAATCATGCCTTTACTTTCTGATTCAGATGGCTTATATCCTATGTTCTGGATGTAGCTACAACTGAGGTCAGCCCTTCTTAAAGTTTGTTTAGCACATACCACTTTATAATCTGAGACCTGTTGCTGAAAAGTGTGCTTTCATTCTCTTGTTATATATCTGTAGTTTAATGTAGCCAGTTTTACTTACCTGGCAAAAATTATCCTGTGTAGGGTTGGGCATGTTTATTCATACATAAGGAGTATACCTTCACTTCCCTGTACCCTTCTCCCCATGGTTCTAACATAGCAACCTAGATAGCCACTATTGCTTGGTCAGTACCAGGAACAGTGCCTGGCACATAGTAAGTAGGCTCTCAGTAAGTATATGCTGAATGAATGAATCAGTTGGCTCTGAAGATGAAACCTATTTGGTATGGCTTTTTTTTTTTTTAAGCACCATCATGGCTATTTATAATACATGGCACATAACAAGCAATCAATAATTAATTGTTGAATTTAATTCAGTTTTATTTTCCTTATGTTTACCTGGGTTTTAACTGAGCACGTATATTCTTTTCTGGGAAGATGCATCCCCAATACAGAATAGTCCTGATGCTCGAGTTTGTCACAGGCAGAGTTGTAGCAGTATTTGGCAATTTTAAGCATAAGAAAAGAAGCATCTTTTATTACTGACATCTTTTTTTCCAGACATTGTTCCTGCTACTTCACTAGTTGCTCATTGTCTGTAGTTGGCTGTGTAGTCAACACAGGGAATCGTACCCACTCTTATCAGTAGAGTGCTACTGCACATCATTTTCTCTTGTCATTAATTCCAAGAGCTTCTTAATGGTGCAGAGTAGTGGTCTGCCTGGAGCAGGTTCATTAATTTAATATACTCAAAATATCACAGAAGGCAATGGGAATTATAAAATTATAAACTGTACTTTTTCAGGGTTAAACTTTGAAATCTTTTAAAATTTATTCAGCATCCTTAGTTTTAAAAATAGATACTTTCCATTTTTCTGGCAGTTGTGTGTGTTAGGATTTATTTAAGAGTTTGGTACATCTTATAACAACCATTAATAAAATTTGCTTCTAATAATGTGACTTGAAGAAGACCATGGCTTTTGCCCAAAACTTGTAAGTCTGTGAAACATTTTAAAGCGAATGATGGCCTGGCTGGTGTGGCTCAGTGATTGAACATTGACCCATGCACCAAGAGGTCACCAGTTCCATTCCAGGTCAGAGCATGTGCCCAGATTGTGGGCCACATCCCCAGTGGGTGGCATGAAGGAGACAGCCAATCGATGTTCTCTCTCATCGATGTTTCTGTCTCTCTCTCTACCCCTTCCTCTCTCTCTGAAATCAGTAAAGAAAGAAACAACAACTTGTGACTCTTTATAAAATGGATATTAAAATATTTCCTTAAAAAAAATAAAGCAAATGATGATCATGGGGAAGAGCTAAATTTCTCTTAAGACTTTTGTTCAGATCAGACATATGCTCAGAATTGACATAGCATGTAATGTGGATTTCAATGAAGAAAAGTACTTCAGAATCAAACCTTAGAAGGCCATTTGGGGGCTTACTTAGCCTGACCAAAGGACTTAAAATCTAGAAGCTGTATTTTTTGGATAATACGCAGAAAGTAGAGCAGCCTGTTTTTGCTTTTGGTTATCATTTTGCTTTGCCTATGATTTATTTGTTCATATTAAGAAGAAGGAATTGAGTGGTCACAGGACTTTAAGTTCTTTCTAGACAGATTTTTTTTTTGTTTTACTTCGTAATGCTTTTCTGCTCTTATTTAAGAATAACATACTTTTCAATTATATTGATTTTAATTGCATTCATTTAAATTAGGGATCTTATCCTTTTCCCCCTTTCTCTTTCAGGACTTGAACCAGTGAAAGAAGCTTATGACACTTACGAAGATAAATATTTCTCTTCCCTTTTTAATTGGAACTTCAATTTAGGACCTATATATATGACTTTTCATCTGTGATCTCTTCTGTTGGTAGCCGCTGACTTTGAGTTGCAGGAAGGTCTCTGAAGATTTATATCAAATGACGTCAATGGCCAGCTTGTTTTCTTTTACTAGTCCAGCAGTAAAGCGATTGTTGGGCTGGAAGCAAGGTGATGAAGAGGAGAAATGGGCAGAAAAGGCAGTCGATGCTTTGGTGAAAAAGCTAAAAAAGAAAAAGGGTGCCATGGAGGAACTGGAGAAAGCCTTGAGCAGTCCAGGACAGCCGAGCAAATGTGTCACTATTCCCAGATCTTTAGATGGACGCCTGCAGGTTTCTCACAGAAAAGGCTTACCCCATGTTATATACTGTCGTGTTTGGCGCTGGCCTGATTTGCAAAGTCATCATGAGCTAAAACCATTGGATATTTGTGAATTTCCTTTTGGATCTAAACAAAAAGAAGTTTGTATCAATCCATACCACTATAAGAGAGTGGAGAGTCCAGGTAGGTTTTATTCCTTTAAGAAGAATTTTAAAAACTTCTCTTTTCCTGATTTGCATTTAACTGGATTTAGTAATTAAAAGGTTATATTAGCCTTGTGTTTTCCTTCTTAAAGATTTTAATCTTGGAAAGAATACTGGATTTTGAATTCAGCTTTTTATATATAGATGATATAGCTCCCAAGTGGCTTATTTTAATTCATTGTTCACTGTAAGGAGTCAGTTATATATACACTCATCCATTCCTGTGAATGACTGTCTCTATTTTATCTGAGGCGTAAGCTCCATGCGCATATATCCCACTCCTTTTTGTCTATTTAAGAACTTTATTTCTATAATTATCACCCCTTTCCCCAGCATTATATTTTTCCTCCCTACTAGACTATTTGTGAGAGCATATAAACATGTCATGATACTGCCCATCCAAAAATGAAAGTTAAAAAGAATTCCTGTCTCAACATCATTTATACCTCCTCACACCCAATCTTTTGCACTATTTCCTCTAGTTCTTTTAGAGGAGTTTCCATTTTTATTATCTTCACATTATTTTCTCCAATTTTTTCTTGACACCCTTTCAGTTAGTCCTTTTTCCCTACCATTTGACTTGTCAAGATCACTAGTGACTGCCTTTTTACAGACAGAGAGGGGTTATTCTCAATCCTCATCTTATCTGTCCTCCCAACATCATTTGATACAGTTGTTCTTCCCTCCCACTCAAAACCTTTTCTTTATTGGCTTCTGAAACACTACAGTTTCCTGGTTCTCCTGCCTTACTGGTTGTTTTTGCTTAGTCTCTTTGTTGGTTTATTTTTCTGTTTTCACAGGACTCAGTCTCTGGACAGTTTCTCCCTCTATATCTTTCCTCTTGGCTCTCATGCTGTCACATCTTAAAACAATCTATAAGCTGACACTAACGTTTATAACTCCACAGAGTCAACTTTTCTTTTGAGACTTAGACTTTTGTATCCAGTTGTCAACTTGATATCTCTGCTTGAATATGCCCAATAAACATACCATATTTAATGTTTAAATGGGACTTTTCATTTTTTCCCCAAGTCATTTATATCTCCAGTTTTCCTTATTGAAGTAAGTGGCATCAGTATTCATGTTATTGCTACCTAGAAGTCATCTTATTTTTCTCTCTTAAGTCCTGTATTTGAGCTATGAGCAACTGCTGTTTGTTGTACCTTCAGAATATGTTTTTATATCTTGATAATACCATTTCTCACTAACTGTAACATCACTGCTCCAGTACAGAACATCATCATCTTTCACCTTCAGTAGTCTTCTAATTGAGATTGCTGCCTATTTTGGTATCTCTCCAACCCATTCTGTTTTCCCCATAGGAGCCACAGTGATATTTAAAAATATGTATCAAGTCATGTCAGTCCCTGCTCAAAATACTTTAAAGGTTCTCTGTCCCACTTAAAACAGTTTTCTGTAAGACCCTACATGACCTTTCAAACTTCCTCTGTTCTTTGTACTTGCCATACTCCTGCACCTAGGCTTTTTTCTTGCTGTTTTCTCTACTTACAGTGCTTTTCTCCCAGGATCTTTTCATGGCACATTTTCTCACTCCATTCAGTCCTTGCTCAAATACCCCCATCATTACTTGACACTATGTTAAACATTTATTTTATTTATTGACTGAAGTGAGCAGGACCTTCCTCTGTCTCATTCTGTATTGCATCCCCCATTGCCTAGAACACTATTAGTACCTGGCACTTTATAGATGGTACTTAGTAAATACTTTTTTGTAATGAATGAATTCTGTAAACTGAGATACTAGCTAGGTACATTAGTTATCTATTGCCGCAAAATAAATTACCACAAGCGAAATGGCTTAACACAGTTTATTATCTCACAGTTTCTGTGGGTCCAGGCACAGCTTAATTAGGTCCTTTGTAATGCTTTAATCAAAGTGTTGGTCAGGGCTTGGATCTCATCTGAGCCTCAGTTGAGGAAGGATCTGTTTGCGAGCTCATGGAATTGTTGACAGGATTCCATTCCTTGCAGGCTGTTGGACTTCTGCTAGTTGTTAACTGGAGGCTGCCTTCGTTTGTTTGCTACATGATCTCTTCATAGGTAGCTCACATTTATGACAGCTTACCTCTTTGAAGTCAGTAATAAAGAGAGGGTCTTTTTGCTAGAGGGGCATTATATTCTTATAGAATGTTGTCACATACATACTGTCACTTTTGCCATATTCTTTTGGTTAAAAGCGAATCACAGGTAATACACTCAAAGGGAGGGGATTATGCAAGAATGGTACACAGAGGTGGGAATCATGGTGGTTACCCCGGAGTCTATGTGCCACACTGGGTTTCATATGGAGATAATATAAGTCTAGTATGGTAAAAAGGCTTTGAAATAACAATGGATGTGGAAACTAGCAAAAAAGAATAGCAGTGATGGTGTTGACAGGGAAAGTTCAGTTTAAGGGCTTTAGAGCTGCCAGTTGGTATTTGAGGTGATTCTTAATTTTTCACTGAATCCAAGGCAATCTGGAGCCTGAAGGAATTAAGAAAGGAAGGTGTGAGGATTTAATAGAGAAGTGTAGTTTGAAAAACTCCCTAGCTTGATATTTTCTAGGAGTTGCTGAAAAAAATTTAGGAATTTAGTGTATTCCATCATAGCCAGGGTTTGATTTGTAATCCCACTATAGGAATGTCTTATTTTTTATAATCCATTTTTCTTAGCTATAATTCATTCTATAGAAAAGACTGGGGGCATAGTTCTGGTGTGCTTCAACAATTTAATCAAGCATCTGTAATGCAGGATAGATCACTTTATGTTACTAATTAATAAAGTAGTAGTAGTAACTGTGATCATAATGAACATTTATTGAGCACTTATGGTCTAGGCACTTCTTTATTACTATGAAGTTATTTCTTCATAGAGTTAGAAAATGTTACTAACATTTTAAAACCTAATAAATTTATAGGTAAGAAAACAAAGGGAAGTAATTTATATAAGATCACATTGCTTATATATAGTGGAGCCAGAATGTATTACAAAAAAAAATTAAAAAAAAAATTAAAAAATTAAAAGTTGGAAAAGAAAAATAGAGGGCCAACCCAGGTGGTCCAATGTTTAATAGGCAGTGTTGACTAGTGGTTTAGACTAGGTTCTGGAATCCTGATCTTATTAACATACTAGTGTGACCACAGGCAAGTTACGTAACCATTCTGTGACTTAGTTTCCTCATCTGTACAATGGGAATAATAATACTGACTCCATAGTTTTATTATGAGGATTAGGTGAGTTAATGCATGGAAAGTGCTTAGATTAAAACACTAATTGGTTCAGAATGAGTTTCAAGTTAAATATCATTCTAATAAAATAATAATCCTAGAAATAGACCATGGCAGAGAGAAAATTATCAATGAAATACTAGTAGAACAGTTTCCAGAACTGAAAATTGAAAGGGCCCAGTGACCGAATAAACAGCAGAAGGGATAAAAAAAGAGCCAGTCATGGCATTTTAGTATATCACAGATAAAAAGAACATTCTGAAAACTCCTAGAAGAAAATACAGGACACATACAAAGGACTGGAAATGAGAATATTGTATTTCTCAGTGCAATTCTGGATTCTAGAAGAAAATGAAGCATTATCCCACAAATTCAGAGAGCAAAAGGTACCTATTCTGGAATTTGTTTGCTGACAAAGAAAAGGCGAGACTTATTGTATATGCAAGGACTCAAAATTTATCTTCATTATACACTGTTTCTTAGGAAGTTAATGGAGGAAGATGAGGTCCAGGAAGTGAGATTCAACAGGAGAGAAGAGACTTCAGATTTGTGGGAGACTTAAGTAGCAACCAATAAAGATTTTAGCAAAAGGATGGAGGATCCAAGGGAGAAAAACAGAAGCAGTAGATTTTTTTTGTTTGTTTATTTGTGGCATCTGGAAAATAATATTGATAGGAATTTAACTGATTTGTTTGTAGTTCTGGATATATTAGTGGTAAATGTGATTAAGCACATGAAGGAACAAGGCAGTTATTAACTGTAGTAAAAGCATTCTTCACAAAAAAATACAATTATAGGACATACTTCAACAATGAATAATCTTCCTATGTAATATTAATTTAACCAAAAAAAAAAGTTTTAATGTAACTTTATTGTGGGGGAGGAGAATTAGAAGTGGGATAGAATGATATAAGAAAGCTATGTCATTTGCCATAACAGCAAGTCTACAAATAATGTCTTTAAATCAATAATAGTAAGATAAACATATTATTTAGCAGCACATAAAGTATTAGAAAAAATGACTGAGAGTTTATGTTTTTTTGTCTCTGGAAGCTGTATGGGAGGAGGCTTAGAAGTTGCTGTTTTTATAATCTCTTGTGGTATCTATCTTTTTAAATTATTCATGTATTATTTTGGATGAAAATAAAATAATACTAAAAAATGTGTATAGATATACAAGTAAGAGAGAAGTCAGTCATTTTAGCTCTGCCTTAAAAATAAGAAAGTGCAAAAATCCTGACTAGATTAAATGCCGAAGTAGTTATTTTACTAAGTCTTTCAGATTGCTAGCTACCTAAACTCAGAAATTTGTAATGCCCTGCCTACTCTCTGGTGGCAGCTGACCCATCGTTCTGTAAGGGGGGACAGCAGTTGGTAGTAGAATAAAACAATTGAAAACAGATGCTAACCACATAATTACAACACTAGTTCAATAAAATAAAAAGCGACAAAAACAAACAAAAAACAGTACAAATAAGAGCCTCTGCTTCCTCAGGTACATCCCTGCTTCTGGGAGGGGAAGTATGACCTAGTTAACTTAAAAATAAATTGATTTTATTGATGCTGAATGATGTCAGAGTCAAAGAAATTTTCAGAAGTGAAATTACATTGACAAATATAGGAAAGTTGTAAAGAGATGAATTGGTACAGTAAGAGTTTAAAGAAATTGGGTTTGATTCTGTTTCCTATAGGGAAAGGTAATCAGGTATTTGTATGTGCTTGATCACTTGGGTCTTTAGAGAAAGTGAATGTTTGAATAAAGTTTATCTTTTAAAAAAATGTATCTCTTAAAATGTTTAGGCTTTGTTGTATATCTATTATGGTCATTTTTAGAAAACTGATTTTGATTGAAGACTTCTACATAGGAAAGACTTCTACATAGGAAAGGTTATTATTTTGAGTTGGGAAAACTTAACTTATGAACATAAATTGTGAGATCTCTCAAACTAAAAAACATGAAATGTTAAAAATTGGAAACATAGAGGCTTTGGGGACATCTATATTGCTGACCTCAACTTCATTCTGTCAGTCTTGCTTCCTAATTTAGTGGCCAGGCCAACTGTTTATCCTTTCTTATATCCCCTTCTCCTCGATTATTCCTACTCTTAGCACTCCTCTGTGAAATCCTCCTAGTTTTTAAGGTCTAATTAGATACTGTCTTTTTCATAATATTTTGCTTGATTCATTACCAGCTGGAAGTACTCACCTTTATTTAACTTTCATTGCATTAAATTTTTTTTTACTGTAGTTTTAAAATATGCCTTATCTCCTATAGAACAAGAGTGGTATCTTTTCTGAGTTTGCTGTCTTCCACAGTACTTTTATACATGCTAAATGCTTAGAGAGTTCTTGGTTTAGTTATTGTGTAAATAAATTTAAGGTTCTACAAAGCATTCCTTCCTAAAAGTGAATTATTTATTAGGTTTATAGACCTACCTGAATGTTTTCTATGTACCTTTTAATATGCATGGGGTATTTGCTTTAGTCATTGCTGACAGATGACTTTTGGTTTTTGTCTTTCAGTCTTACCTCCAGTATTAGTGCCTCGCCATAATGAATTCAATCCACAACACAGCCTTCTGGTTCAGTTTAGAAACCTGAGCCACAATGAACCGCACATGCCACAAAATGCAACTTTTCCAGATTCTTTCCACCAGCCCAACAACACTCCTTTTCCGTTATCTCCAAATAGCCCCTATCCCCCTTCCCCTGCTAGCAGCACATATCCCAACTCCCCAGCAAGTTCTGGACCAGGAAGTCCATTTCAGCTCCCAGGTATGAATTTATTTTATTAATACAAGAAAATAATCCCTAAGAATCAGCAGTTGTTACACTGCTGGCCCTCTGAGTGAACTGTTATGTGCCAAGAGTTATTTTTGACTCTAGTCTTTGGTAATTGTTTCATTTACAGAAGAGTTTTGGATTTTATTTTGCCAAATACCATATGTTTATATATTTTCATGTAAGTTATAACTAAGACCCATTTATTGAGTGCCTTTTATGTAACTGATACTGTGATTAAAGATATTACATTAAGTTCAGACCAGCATGAGAGATAGATATTGTTCCTGTTTACAGATGGAAAAAGAAATTGATACAAACTCTAAGAGTTAAGTACCTTACATCATGTTGGACAGCTAATGAGGGTTCAGACCCAAGTTTCTTTGACTTCAAAGTCTATGGTTTTTAAACTTTACTACATTGTAAAGTTTGCCTGTCAAATCATTTTAGACTTTGGAAGGTTAAATGAATTCCGGTTATCTTTAATTAGATAACTGATGAACTGATTTGCCTGTAGAAAGATAAGCAGATTATAATGTATAAGGTTTCGAACTGTTGTTAATGTCATGTCATGTCCGGACACATCTTATGTCACTCTGTCAAATATTTGAATGCCTACTGCAGGCAGAGTCATATGTAAGTATATTCTTTGTGGCTTCTCTGAAACAAAATATCAATTGATGCAGGTTTTTGTTTTTAATCCTCACCCAGGGACATTTTTGCATTTATCTTCAGATAGAGCAGGAGGAAGATAGGGAGAGAGAGAGAGAAACATCTATGTGAGAGAGACACATTGAGTGGCTGCCACCCACAGGACCCCAGCTGAAACTGGGGACAAACTGCAACTGAGGTATGTGCTCTCTGCAGGAATCAAACCTGGAACTCTCTAGTCTGTGGGCCAATGCTCTAACCACTGAGTCAAACCAGCCAGGGCTGCAGTTTTTGTTTTGAAGAGGAACAAGTATTAACCATTTAACTGCTGTTAGGTATGTGTTCAAAAGCTAGTATTCATACTTTGTCCTAGATTCATTTTTATATTTTTAATTTTTTTTTTTTATTATTATTATTATTATTATTTTTTTTAATCCTCACCCGAGGACATTTTTCCATTTTTCACTCAGATAGAGCGGGAAGGAGAGAGAGGAAGAGAGAGAGAAACATCGATGTGAAAGGGACACATCGAGTGGCCGCCACCCACACGACCCAACCAGGGCCGGGGACAAACTGCAGCCAAGGTACATGCCCTTAGCGGGAACCGAACCCGGGTCTCTGTGGACCGCAGGCTGACTCTCTAACCGCTGAGCCAAACCGGCCAGGGCCCTAGATTCATTTTTGATTGTAGCTTTGCCTCAGAATATATCTTCTACATATCTTCGGGTGAAAGACAAATCATATTCAGTGTGTATAGTTACAGAGACAAAGAATTACAGCTGTAGCTTTTGAGAAGGATTTTAACCATGAGTGTTGGAACCCAACAGATTTTCTAGTTAGCATTCAGTTTCCTGAGAGAATTACCTAGCCATTTAATAGGGCACTACAGCCATTTTAGGATGTTGCAGAAAATGAGACAACTGCTCTTAATATTTATGGCAAAATTTGAAGGAGCATAACTTTATTTTTCAGTTTTAAATAACAATATACAGTATGTGGTAAGTTTGATAATTTAAAAGTATTTGTAGATACATACCTATACTAGGATAATTGTGTCTTTCAGATTGATTTCCAGAGGTTGCAGATTCTCCGAGCATATGATTCTAAGCAAATAAAGGCAAAATATTGACCTTGAATTCTATTTTAGTGAATTTTAGCACTGATCTTTCTATCCTGGATTCCTCTTACAGTAGGTTTTCAGTCACTAATGGTTGTGCTGTCTTTTTTTCTTTTCACTTGCTCTAAGATGGCATCCTACATTTTTGTGTGCCTGTGATATTTATTAATGAACCCTGCTGGGAAAGTTATGAATTTTTAAATGCTTTTAGAATAACTTTGAGAAGGATGAAGACTTTATTCTTTTGGAATGTGAACTTGTCTTATTTTCTTCCTCTTAGCTGATACTCCTCCTCCCGCCTATATGCCACCAGATGATCAGATGGGTCAAGACAATTCCCAGCCTATGGATACAAGCAGTAACATGATTCCTCAGATTATGCCCAGTATATCCAGCAGAGGTAAGAGAAATACCATATTTATCTTGTTGGTTTTGCTCTTTTGTGGTTTGCTTCTTTTAACTTGGCTGCTTTTTAAAAACAGCTTTTTTTTTTAATTACTTACTTAATTTATTGTTGTTACACATGTTTCTCCTTTTCCCCACACCGATTCCCCCAGAATTGTTGACCATGTCCATTGTTCATGCATACATGCATATAAGTTCTGTGGTTTATATCTCCCCCACAAACCCCTCTTTTGGGGATTGTCAGTCTGTACTCCACCTCCGAGTGTAAAGGACTACCCCATTCCTCAGACTGTTATGTTCATTATATTCCATGAATAGGTGAGATCATATGATACTTGTCTTTCTCTGTTTTGCTTGTTTTGCTTAGGATAATACTCTCCAGGTCCTTCCATGTCGTCTCAAAGGATAAGAGATCTTTCTTTCTTATGGCTGCATAGTACTCCATTGTGTATATGTTCCACAGCTTTTTTATCTTTTGTCTACTGATGGACATCTGGGCTATTTCCAGATCTTAGCGATTGTAAATAGTGCTGCTACGAACATGGGGGTACATATATTCTTTCTGATTGGTGTTTCAGGCTTCTTAGGGTATATTCCTAGAAGTGGAATTACTGGGTCAAATGGCAGTTCAATTTTTAATTTTTTGATTTCCATAGTGGCTGCACCAGTCTGCATTCCCACCAGCAGTGAACTAGAGTTCCCTTTTCTCCACACCCTCACCAACACTTATTGTTTGATGATTTGTTGATGGAGACCATTCTGAAAGGTGTGAGGTGATACCCCATTGTTGTTTTAATTTGCATCTCTCTGATGATTAGTGATGTTGAGAATTTCTTCATATGTCTTTCAGCCATTTGTATGTCCTGTTTGGAGAGGTGTCTATTTAGTTCCTCTGCCCATTTTTTAATTGGGTTCTTTGTCTTCCTTTTGTGGAGTTGTATGAACACTCTCTATATATTGGAAATTAACCCCTCATCTGATATATCATTGGCAATTATGCTCTCCCATACAATGGGTGACCTTTCCATTTTTCGGTGGTTTCTTTTGCTGTGCAGAAGCTTTTGAGTTTGATGTAGTCCCATGTGTTCATTTTCTCCTTTGTTTCTGTTGACTTAGGTGATGTATCAGTGAAAATTCTGCTGTGTATGATGTCTGAAATTTTGTTGCCTACATTTTCTTCTAGGATTTTTATGGATTCATGAGTCACATTTTGTCCATTTTGAGTTTATTTTTGTGTAGGGTGTAAGTAGATGGTCCAGTTTCATTTTTTTGCATGTAGCTGTCCAATTTTTCCAACACCATTTATTAAAGAGGCTGTTCTTACTCCACTGTATGCTCTTTTCACCTTTGTCAAATATTAATTGAGCATATTGCCTTGGGTCCATTTCAAGGTTCTCTGTTTTGTTCCACTGGTCTATGTGCCTGTTCTTGGTCCAGTACAGGCTGTTTTGATTATTGTGGCTTTGTAGTATAACCTGAAATCTGGTAATGTGATCCCTCCAACTTTGTTCTTCTTTTTCAAGATTGCTGTAGCTATTCGAGGTCTTTTTTAGTTTCATATGAACTTTTGAAGTATTTGTTGTAGTTCTGTGAAGTATGTCGTTGGTATTGCATGATGGGGATTGCATTGAATCTATAGATTGCTTTGGGGAATATGGACATTTTAATGATGTTAATTCTTCCAATCCATGAAGAAGGTGTGTGCTCTACTTTTTTATATCTTCCTCTATTTCTTTTTTCAATGACCTTTAGTTGTCTATGAATAGGTCCGTTATTTCTTTGGTTAAGTTTATTCCTAGGTATCTTAATTTTATTGCTGTGATGGTAAATGGGAGTGTTTATTTAGTTTCTCTTTCTGTGAGGTCATCATTGGTTTATAAGAATGCCATTGATGTCTTGATGTTAATTTTGTATCCTGCTACTTTGCCAAATTCATTTATTAAGTCTAGTAAGTTTTTGATGGAGTCTTTGATGGTTTCTAGTATCATGTCATCTGCGAATAATGACAGTTTAACTTCCTCCTTTCCCATTTGGATTCATTTTATTTTTTCTTCATTTCTAATTGCTGTGGCTAAGACTTCCAGTACTATGTTAAATAAGAGTGGTGAAAGTGGGCATCCTTGTCTTGTTCCTATTCTTAAGTGTAATGCTTTTAGTTTTTGCCCATTGAGTATGATATTGGCTGTAGGTCTTTCACATATGGTCTTTATTATGTCGAGATATGATCCCTCTATTTCCAGATTGCTGAGCGTTTTTATCAGAAATGTTGATGGATTTTGTCGAATGCTTTTTCAGCGTCTATTGATATGATCATATGATTTTTATCTTTCATTTTGTTTATGTGGTGTATCACATTTATTGATTTGCGAATATTTTACCAGCCTTGCATTCCTGGGATGAATCCTACTTGGTCATGGTGAATAATTTTTTTGATATATTGCTAGATTCGATTGTGTGTATTTTGTTCAGGATTTTGGCATCTATGTTCATCAGGGATATTGGTCTGTAGTTTTCTTTCTTTGTAGTGTCTTTTTCTGGTTTTGCAATTAGAATTATGCTGGCCTCATAAAACAAGTTTGGAAGTCTTCCTCCTTCTTGAATTTTTTGAAATATTTTGAGGAGAATGGGTATTAGTTCCTCTTTGAATGTTCAGTAAAATTCCCCCATGAAGCTGTCCGGGCCTGGGCTTTTGTTCACTGGGAGAGTCTTGATTACATCTTCAGTTTCTTTTGTTGTTATTGGTCTGTTCAAGTTTTCTATCTCTTCCCGGTTCAGTTTTGGGAGATTATGTGTTTTTGGAAATTTGTCCATTTTGGTTACATTGTCGAATTTGTTGCTGTATAATTGTTCATAAGATCTGTTAACAATCCTTTGTATTTCTGTGGTGTCAGTTATTATTTCTTCTCTTTCATTTCTGATTTTGTGTATTTGGGTTCTCTCTCTTTGTTTCTTGGTGAGTCTAGCTAAAGGTTCATCAATCTTGTTTATCTTTTCAACGAACCAGCTCTTTGTTTCATTGATCCTTTGAATTGTTTTTATCTCCATGTCATTTATTTCTGCTCTGGCCTTTACTCTACTTGCTCCTTTCTTCTACTTGCTCTTGGGTTTTCTCTCTGTTTGCTTTCCAGTTCTTTAAGTTGTGAGATTAGATAGTCTATTAGAAATTTTTTTTGCTTCTTGAGGTAGGCCTATAGTGCTATGAACTTCCCGCTCAGAACTGCTTTTGTTGCATCCCATAGATTTTGTGTCATTGTGTGTTCATTTTCATTGGTTTCCAGGAAGGTTTTCATTTCTTCCTTGATCTCCATGGTAACCCATTCATTGTTCAATAACATGCTATTTAGCCTCCATGTTTTCAAATGTCTTTGCATGTTCTTGTTGCAATTGATTTCTAGTTTCATGCCATTGTGATCTGAGAAGATGCTTGATATGATTTCAGTCTTCTTGAGCTTCTAGAGACTGAGTTTGTGACCTAACATGTGGTCTGTCTTTGAGAATGTCACATGTGCACTTGAGAAGAATGTGAATTCTTTACTTTTGAAGTGTAATTCTCTGTAGATATCTATTAAATCCATTTGATCTAGTGCTTCATTTAGAGTCTGTGTTTCCTTGTTAATTTTTTGTGTAGAAGATGTATCCAGTGATGTCAGCAAGGTACTGAAGTCCCCTGCTATGATTGTATTGCTGTTGATTTCTCCTTTGAAGTCCTCCAGTAGATTTTTAATACATGTTGGTGCTCCTAAATTGGGTGCATGTATGTTTACCAAGGTTATATCTTCCTGTTGGATAGATCCTTTCAATATTATGTAGTGGCCTTCTTTGTCTCTACATATGGCCTTCATTTTGAAATGTACTTTATCAGATATGAGTATTGCTACCCCATCTTTTTTTGCTTTCCGTTTGCTTGAAAGATTTTATTCCATCCCTTCCATTTCAACCTCAGTATGTCAGTCTTTTGTTGTGAGGTAGGTTTCTTGTAAACAACATATATGTGAGTCATGCTTTCTTATCCAGTCAGCTACTCTGTGTTTTTTTATCGGAGCATTCAGACTATTCACATTTAAGATGATAATTGATATGTACTTATTTATTGCCCTTTTTGTTTAGTGTGGTTCTATTTTTCTTCCTATTTCTTCTACTAATTACAGCAGTCCTTTTAGCATATCTTGCAGTGCTGGTTTGGTGTTAATATATTCCCTTAGTCTTTTTTTTGTCTGGAAAGCTCTTTATTTGACATTCTTTTTTGAATGATAGCCTTGCTGGATAGAGTAGTCTTGGGTTCAGATCCTTGTTTTTCATGACCTTGATTACTTTATGCCACTCCCTTCTGGCCTGTAGTGTTTCTGTTGAGAAGTCAGCTGAGAACCTTATGGGGTTTCCTTTGTAGGTAACCTGTTGCTTATCTCTTTCTGCCTTTAGGATTCTCTCTTTGTGTTTAATTTTTGGCATTTTAATTACTGTCTGTCTTGGTGTGGGCCTGTTTGGGTTCTTCTTACTTGGGGCTCTCTGTGCTTCTTGAACTTGAATGCCTTCTTCCTTCCCCAAGTTAGGAAAGTTTTCTGTCACTATTTATTCAAATATATTCTCTAACCCTTGCCCATTTTCTTTCTCTTTGGGGACTCCTATGATGCGGATGTTATTACATTTCCAGTTGTCCCAGAGTTCTCTTAAGCTATCTTCCTGTTTTTTAATTGTTTTTTCATTTTAGTTTTCTGATTGGTTGATATTTTTCTACCCTGTCTTCTAATTCACTGATCTAGTTTTCAGCTTCCTCTACTGTGCTTGTTAGTCCTTCCAATGTGTTCTTAATTTCTGCTATGTCATTCTTCATTTCCATTTGCTTGGTTTTCAGTGTTTCTGTATCCTTACTCATGGTACTGATGTCCTTACTCATGCTGTTGAGCTTCCTCAAGATCATGGCTCTGAACTCTACCTCTGATAATTTGCTTAGCTGCGTGCCATTGATCTCATCTTCGATAGAGTTTCTTGTTCTTT